AAAACCCCCTAAATCAAATAGGAAAATTAGCATAATTTTGTGGGTACAAATTATGAAAAGCCCGGTTCAATTTTAGAGTGTTTATATGTGAGAAACTGGTCCTAGACATGGCTCTGAGATTTAGTTTTAAATGTTCTCAACTAATTTCCGAAGGTGTGGTTGCTTCAACGAACTTATCTGACACAAAACAGCAAAAGATACCTACTCTCGAGAGAGTCAATAAATGTGAAGGAAACAAGTGTTGGCTAGGAATATGTTCATATCAACAAAAATGACTTGTAACTGGAATATGTAGCATGTAATTTTAAAAAAAAATAAAAAAAAAATAAAAATTAACACAGGAAAACTGAACAAATATGTCAACATTAATGACCTAACATATAGTACTCAAAGCATGGTATGATATTTTCACAGCAGAAAACAAGAGAAATGACCGACAAATAGATAGACTCATCGCATGATATCTCCCATCTGGATTATTAGGTGATGTTAGGAATATGCACTTACGTCTCTCCTGCTCAACAACCTCTGGAATCTGTTCTACATCCAAGCTGAAGTCTGATTTTTGAGACACTGCCAAAAGTGAGGATATTGAATGAGAATGAAATTGTTTGGGTCAAGTTGCCAAATCATATTTTGAGTTAAAAAGTTTCTGCAAATTGCATATCTACCTACAATATTTCTGTCTTCAACCATATTTTATTTTAACTAATTATTACTGGTGAAGATAGTAGGCATGAGGCCAGAGAAATGAGAATGTGAAGGATAACTAAGGGAGAAAGACTTACATGACATATAAAAGCATTATATATTTTATATTTATGGCGTTTCAACAAATTTTTTTTTTCCAAAGGAAAAATTATATAACATTTTACTTATATGTTCAAAATCTAAACTTCAATCTTGCTTGATATCATCCACTCCATATATTTTATGTTTATGGCATTCCATCAATTCCTTTTTTCCAAAGGAAAATTTATATAACATTTTACTTATATATTCATAATCGAAACTTCAATCTTGCTTGATATCATCTACTCAAGATTTCTGTGAAAGATCTAGGGTACAATGTTCTATTCTCTTGTAACCTGTTGGTGCACGAGTTGTAGCCTATTAACCATTTGGAAGAGTTATGAAACAAAAAAGGTGGAACATAAATTGCTAATAGAAATGACAAGCATAGAGAAAACACCGTGATTCATAATAATGCAAGCCGAAGAGAGAGAGGCTTAAACTAATATCATTTAACTGACCAATCACAATCTAAGTCAATCACAGTTTCTAGAAACTTGTAACAACAATTCATAGAGCAACACAGATAAATCATCACTGATTATATTAAGTTAAAGCAAAAAATGGCTTGGTTCTAAGATATGCGTGCATTCTAAAAACTTGAAATTCCAAAAATATGTAGTTGGAATTCGTTGTTGTCAGTACTCCAATGATAATAAAATTCTAATATATTTCAAGGAAAAATAGATAGTAATGCCATTCGTTACCAGTAAGAAAGGAAAAAATAACAAAAGAGGAAGATTGAAAGGCAGGTACAAAAAGCAAATATAAAAAATTTCGAGACTTAGCATTTAAGTATTGAAGTTGAGAGGACTTATTCCAGAGTAAAAAAAATACCATGGGGCGAGAAAAAAGGATTTCATAATTGTAGACTATTGGTTCCAAAGCTCAATTCTAAGAAAACTTACAAATGTCTTGAGCAAACTGTTACTTCAAATCTATAGACATTATAGTTGCAAATTTGTAAACTGGCCTTGGTAATTATATCTTATCCATGTGTAAAAGAACTCCATTCAAAGTTCAGGAGAGCGAATTTCAGGGCCCATAAGTCTTAAATCCATTAAAGCATATAGCAGCTTAACCATGAAAGTACAAGAATATCCAGTTTGCTATCAATAATTTAAGCACATGTTATCACAGGACATCCATAATGTCAGTTCACCATCGATGATTATTAGCACATGTTGTTACATTGTGTGTACTATTTGATGGTTGTGCCTTATTTAGTCAAACAAAAAAATTATATCTAACCTCAATTAGGGGATAACTTACATATACAATTAAAGCATGTGTGTATTACCTACAGAATTTGTATTAGTGTCCACATTGGACATAGAAGTGATCTCATCATGGCTGTCAAAGAATTGATCTTCTTCCGTTTCATCACAACCACTCATCTTTGTTAAATTCAAGTTTAAGCTTACATAAACCTACATTTAAAACCAACACATACATTAGTTTTCAATTTTACATCTGACCAATTTAGATTATAAAAAAATACTTTATAGTTTAACAAACAATTATTAATCAAACAGAATAGAACAGAGGATAATCATTAAATTATCAAACCCCTGAACAAGAATAAATATCTGGCCACTCATGCTTCAAGATGTGCACATGAAGGAACAGAAGCATAAGCAAGATGACATATAAGGAAAAGCCCAGGCAGCAGGGTTCTTTTAAAATATGAAGCAGGTGCATACAAAGCAAAACTGCAGTTATTATTGGTGAGCATGATTCAAATTTCAACGATTAGATAGTATAACCTGAACTAATATAATATTACTTTGTTGAGATACAATTTCTCCTGCTAGAAAGAGATCTCATCGCTTGAAAGCTGAGGTCATCAAATGAACAGTGAGTATTAGTCACGCTCTTGAACTAAGATGCTGTTGGAAGCATATGCGAACAAAATTTTCCTTAAAATAGTGTGATTAAATTACCTCAACTATAACTTTAAAAATATAGTTTTTCATGCCATTTCTTTGTTTTATAGGCAAAGTATTCCATTTATACTTGACAGCACCTTCTAGAACCTGTAGGTGGAAATTCGGCAAGTGCCCTATCTTCATTTTTCTAACAATGTTAAAGCAATGAGCACAAGATATTCACATCCAATAGAGAGCAAGGTCAAACCCCAAAAAGATATCAATGCTCATGATGACTTGAAGGATGTATATGTTTTGCTTTAAAAAAAAAAAAGACTATGAACAGATAGAATTCTCGAAAACAATCGCAAAACTCAAAAACATAATTTGGCTAGGATAATGTATGATATTGTTTATATCCAATAATACACTTGATCAATTACAGATGTCTCCTTCTAAACACAGATTTTGGAATTCAAAGAGATGAACTTTGAAGTTATATTCGTCACCTTTAACAGTATTTGTATTATGATGCTCAAAGAGTCAAACAGATCTTTTTTCGACTTGCTCCATAGTTCTGTCAGATGCAGGCTTTTAGTAGGAATATATTGTGAAACAAAAGTACAATCATTCTTCGATGTAGCTTACAGAAAGTAATATGAGTTGAAAGTTAAACCCAGAATTTACTGTGTTTGACCTCTCACCTAAATGAAAACAAGGACAGATAAGCAAGGAGAGTCTGACAAGTCCAAATGCAAAAGACTACTTATATAAATATAATGAGTGAGACTGACCTACAAAGCAAAAAATTTAGTATTCAAGTTTTGTGTATTTGATAGAATGTGAACCACTTGATTTCCACTTAGATCACACAGCCTTAAATAATAGACTGGTCATGTTACTTTTTTTTCCCTTAATTTACCTTTCTAAGATTCACTATGTTTGTGCTCAGATTAGTAGGTCCGAGGTTTTCAAGAAGCCATGCGTGATCAAAAATTTATGACAAAAAAAAAAGTATAGATCCAATGTCACATTCAGTAAAAGATTTATGATACATGTATAGGATGTAAATTACAAGGAAAATTCATAAAGATCAAATTTTAAAAGAGAAATGTATAGATAAAGTGAAAAATGAGTACATGAAGCCATCGTTGGTCTCATCCCTTTTAAATACCAAAAATCTAACATGAAAGTGAACGAAGGCATTGACAGAAACAAATGACGAATTACCAAGTGAATTAAATGGCCAAGAAGAAATTTATCTTGCTTCAACAACTTACGCTATATGAATACATGAACAAATAGGTAGTACAACAAGTGTATTATCTCAGTGACAGTGAACCTAATACCAAGTTAACTAAACAACCAAGAACAAAATTATCAATGTTCATTAACTCACACTAAGCAAGGATGATTTATTTATGTTTTTGAAAAAAGATGTTAAAGAGAACTCTGCAGCATAAGAAGCATACCATCTCATGATCATATTTGTCTTGATGTTCACCAAAAATATCGTCAGTGTGATCCATTTTCTTAACGTTGTTTGGAAACAATTTCATGTGGAGCAAGTAGAAGGATTACCAAGTGTGTCCCAGGTGTAGTGACCAAAAGGAGCACAATTTTGAAATAAAATGGAACAAAAAGAATGAGCAAATAATAAGCAAGGAGTACTTTACAGGGTTCTCTATTGTGGTCAAATTTAACAGAGAAGAATATAATTTTCTCTCAAATTTCAGTTAGCTCCACAACCAAATGAAAATGACAATGCTAAAATATGTTTTGTAATGATTATTGGTAAATGTAAATGAGAACATATTGTCATGTATTTACCATTGCTAAAATTTCATCGTAAACAACATTTTTTGTACATTTCATATGTAATTTTTGGGTTGTTGTTGGTTTGATGAGAACTTTAACGCATGTGCTACTTTTGGCTCGAGACAAAGCAACATATAATTGGCCGTGCGAAAATACTGGCTCAGGAAGATATAAACCAACAAAATCAAGTGTTTGTCCTTGAGATTTATTAATTATCATTACAAAACATGGACGAACTAGAAATTGTGTTCTTTTAAAAGGGAAAGGATTTTTGTCACTTTGAAGTGGAATAAAAGGTATCCTAGGAAGAAATACCTTTTTTCCTTTATAATCTCCAACTACAATTTCAGCATCTATAATATTTCTTCGGAAACTTTTACAAAGAAGCCTAGTTCCATTACAGAGACCTTCTGAAGGATTAATGTTTCTAAGTAACATGATAGGACAATTTGGTTTTAGTATTAGTTCATGAGTGGGTACACCATTCGGAGTCAAACTATTTAAAAAGTCTTCCTGCATACTTTAGTCAGTTGTACCAATAGCTTCGTCAAAACTAAAATAAGTGAAAGAGTCTCTAGGAAAGTGACTAATCAATAAATTATTGATTTCATCAACATATTCATTTTTTGAAGTTAAAATAACTCTGTTAATCATGTAATGAAGATTGTCAACATAACGATCTAAATTTGGGTAAACTATATCTATTAATGATTGTAAAGAAGTGATGTGTTCTTCGAAATCTATAGTTATGTCAGGCGGAAGTTGTACCATATCACATGAATGTTTTTCTGTAGTTCCATCTCCAATATCGAGTAAATATTTACAAAACGATGTATTTAATTGCGCTCTCATGTTTTCACTTAATCTTAGTTTTGTAAATAAAGGCCATAAGTAAGAGTTAACAAGACTTACTCCTATTACATCGTCTTTAGTACCTCTTTGAACTACAGGTAGAACTTGACGAAAATCTCCTCCTAAGACAACAATTTTACCTCCGAATGGGAATTCACAATCATTAATATCTCTTAACATTTTATCTAATGCTTCAACTACATATCGATTCACCATTGGAGCTTCATCCCATATGATTAGTTTTGTCATTCGAAAAAGTCCTGCAAGAGCACTCTGTTTACTAATGTTACATATTGTGTCATTACAAATTTCTAGAGGTATTTTAAATTTAGAATGTGTTGTTTGTCCACCAGGCAAAAGACCAGCTGCAACACCAGAAGATGCTGTTGCTAAAGCAATCATTTGTCTTGACCTCACAGCACCTAATAATGCACGATATAAAAAGGTTTTACCCGTTCCACCAAGACCATCAACAAAGAACATGCTGCTAACATTAGTGTCTACTTTATTTAGAATTGCATTATATGCCATCTTTTGTTCAGTATTAAGTTGATGGGGACACATAATATCTATTTCTGACACATTAATGCTTAGTTCATCATTTATTACTCTAGCGACGTGTTCATTTTCATGTAGATGTACATTATATGATACAAAGCCATAGCTATTAATGGATTTACCAGAAAGTTCTAAAATTGCATCAATTTCCAAAAGAGCTTTTAAGTTCAGCAATTTGCAGCGACATACCAGCACGTATGAAATCTTCAATCATAAAAATTTTGAATTTGTTCCATAGATTTTTTGGATCATTCGGAGCACATAGAGTTAGAATTGTTGCAAAAAGACAACGAAATGGAGTAGACATTTGATACTCTGAAGCTTCCTGCAAACATAAATCACAATTAGTGTCTCCAATAAGTAAACCATGTAAAAGTGCCGCTTCTCGAAAAGACGATGTTTCAACACCATTTACAATTTTTAAAGCTCGATATGATGTTGCGCCTCTAATATGATTTAACAAAAGACGCAAGTAATATCTTTCCCCTTCACTTGGACGTGCTGCAACTACTCTACCGATACAAACACCTTGTTTTCTAGGACTCAAACATTTACAATGTGAGTCCCAAACAAAAAATGCTGGAAATTGTTTATATAAAAGAGTTGTAGCTTTTTGTCAACAAGATTCATGAGGAAAAATTCCGTTAACATAGTTTTTTGAAAAAAGTCCGTACTTACAAATTTCTCAAGATTGTCAGAACTTTTGTATGTAAAGAAATTATTATTTTCGAGGTGTAATTGAAGAGTAACAACTGGAGGATTTATTTTTGAAAGAACGAAACCAAAAATTCTCCATAATGCTTCAGGAGGAGAAATCCATCTAGTTGTTTGAAAATTTTTAATCTTATCAACCACATGTTCTTCAAAATGTATTGAGAAACCAATTCTATTATGTCCTTTGTATACATATTTATACAAATATTTCACAGCTTTGATGGTTGAACAAATTTCTATATTTATATGGCAATTAAATTTAGCCAAGAGATATGGATTGTAAGGTACAATCCATCTGTTATCTAACCATTGTCCTCTAACTTTCACTTTTCTCCCATTATTTACACGTCTATACTTTGGGTATGAAAATTCACGTAAGAACGTCTCTGTGGTATAATCCTTTGGGAAATGGCTTATGCATTGTTTATTTCTATTCATGCATGCATTTGTTGGATTTAAAATGCCACAAGGGCCATGTATCATGTGAGCAACAACAACAGAGTATAAATGAGGGTAAGTTTGTCTGTCTGGAATCTCAGCACTCACAAATTTATCTATAGATTTAGAAGCAATGATTTTGGATGCGTGATCTAAAATGATTAAAAAATGAGCATGTGGTAAACCTCTTTTTTCGAATTCTATGACAAATATATATGCAGTTGCAGAACCAAAAATTTTATTTTTGAATATATCAATTTTTAGTTCTTCTAACTTAGCTCTAAATATTCGAGTTAAAAGATCAAGTCTATTTTGTGATTCGTCATTATACCTTAATTGGTCTTTTAGTTCAGGCCAATTTGGATTACAAGTAATAGTCAAGAAAATATCTGGTTTACCAAATTTTTGAACTAATGCCATTCCATCCATATATCTTTTATTCATGTCCCTTGGACCAACAGTAAAAGATGACGGCAGAATAATTCTTTTACCAGTCATAGCTGCTCGAGTTTCACCGGACTTAACACAATCTGTAATCCTTGGTAAAGTTCAGCGCGTATTTCATTTTGATTGTTATGAAAATAATTTAATCTAGATGTTTCAATCTTCACATACATATCTACAACATATTGTTATAACAAACATCCAGCATGAAGTAAAATTGACTTATGTGAAGGTCTAACCTGTAATTTGTAGGAATAGTATTCTTTACATGATACCTGAGCTCCTGTTGTCTTCTTTCGCACAACTGGAAAAAGCATAGAACAAGAAAATGTGTTACAATATGGAATTTTAAACATTTTAAAAATAAATGTACTAAGCATAAATAAATTATTCACCTGTATTTTCCACTGCAAAAATTTCTGCAGCAAAATTTAATTGATGAATGTTAAATAAATTTTCATTTGCACATGTTTGTTGTCTTCTGCGTTTGTCAATTCTAACAATACCTTGGTGCCAACCAGTTTCGCCAAAAGGAAACAGTAAGGGGTATTGAAGAGGATCATAACAACCAGAATAATAATGTACTTGATATTTTTCTCCAGAATTGCAAGAAACAGTTATATCACGCACTCGTTCATTAGTAGTAGAATCATCATCAACCCAAATAGCAGATATTTGAGATGCACATGGTGTGTTATATACTCTTTGATCTAATCCACAATTAGATCTAATTTTAAGACTATGAGATTTCAAATTTGGAATATTTGTTGAAGTTCGAAAAAAAAATTGCGTATGGATTCAGTTCTATCACTTTGACAAGCTTTGAAAGTATACACTTTGTCAACTTTTCAGAAAATTGTAGTCGATGCTCTATTTCATTTTCAGTGTCAAAAAAATAGAGCTACATATAAGAAGGGCGACCGTTTTGTACAAAAATGTCATTTATAAAATGATATATTTGACCTTGAATTCTAAAGGTATAGATTCCTTTATTTCTTTTGCACAAATCTTTATCATAATACACACCAAATGAAGTGAATGAGAAATTGCTATTGTAAGTTCGTACGTAATTTTTAAATTCAATGGATTCAGCAGAATTTGATGTAAATAAATGATGTAATTCATCTGGGGTATCATTCACTTTCAATCTTATAGCTCCATCACAACAACAAAAACCTTTCAGTTCATCTTTAAATTTTAGAGCCCCATAATATTCACATAGCCCAGGGCAAGGTAATACATGTGATTTGTTTGGTATCGAAAATGAACCTTCATTTGCTATAAATATTGATGACATTAGCTCCGAATGAACACCAAGCTGATGGGTATAAGTAGCAGAACAGCTACCTATCACGGAAACCACATTAGAATCTAAAAAAGACACATCCCTTTAAAAAAATGTAAAACATGGTTATAAATTCAATTTTTAACAAAACAAATATATTAGATAAACTTATTTCGTCCAACATCAATGTTACAAACTTCATTACAACGAAGACTACTGAATATGAAAACATTCCCTGTATAATTATACATAACACAGATCAAACATCACAAAGTAATCATATTCAACTATCTAAGGAATACATGATCTTTTCACTGCTAAAAACAATATGTAATTAATACAAATAATTGAAATATCTTATTACCTACTTGATCGTCTTCAATTTCGCAATTAGGAAAGAGAGAAATTGAATCTGAAAATTTTAATTTTGCAAAACCATTTCGAATGTTAAAGCCACACGAAATAGAAAAAATAATATATCAATATTGTATGAAACTTGTGTAGATAAAAATGTAAAATCTCTAGCAAAAATCTACAATTTTAAATGTTAAACGTCACATGGTACAATTTTTGATAAAGAAGCTAACCTTAAAAATAAAGAAAGAAAAGAGAAAAAACATTTTCATTCAAAATATCCTTTTTTTTTGTCAGAATAAAGTATACAGAACAAATATTATAAATGTAGTATTGAAGTATAATAGTTTATATGCTTGGTTATGAAAATAAAAAAGTACAAAAAAAAAAGTCCACATGAATAGAAAAACTGCACAAGTCATAAGAGAAGGCAAAAATAACATCCTTAAGAATATGTTACAAATATGTTTCCTCTTGTAGTTAGATGTAGATACCTTCCAACTGGACAAAATGTAGAGACTTTCTCTTCGACGTCTGTATGTCAATATCCAATTTCGCACTGTCATTGTACACTTCTCTTCGTCTTTTATTTTTCTTAGACACCGAATCCATTTTTATACCTATACTCAAAACATACATTTCCTCTGTATATTCGATATAAATAAATATAGTTTGATATCATAGAAAAAGTTCAAAAGAATTTTGACATACGTAGAAACGAATAAACAAACACGCTAAATAATTTAATTGGTATATTAAATTATTTTTTCTCATTGTGGCACATTTTTGTGCCTAAAGACAATTCGTATAATACAAAGGCAAGATCTTTCTCTCTCTGTCTCTGTCTCCCTTACATTGTTGCACATTCATAGACGGAAGTCGACACATTTTATTTGCAATCCTTTTTTCTATTTTTTGGGTATATACATGTCTTATGGTCATTCAATTTTGTTCATAACCTAAGATGATCTTGACCAAGCATAAATTATAATCTAAGCAAATAATAATAATAATAATAATAATAATAATAATAATAATAATAATAATAATAATAATAATAATAATAATAATAATAATAATAATAATACTAATAATACTATTGTCTAAACATTTCGTAGGACATAACATACAATTTACTAACCACTTATTATCCACACATTTCATCGGACCTGAAGCTTATAAGTACTACCAAACAAGCATAGCATGCAACTTATGAATATAGTAAGCAAAAAGAGTTCCTGACACAACCCAAAAAAAAAAAAAAAAAAAAATTACATTGTAAGAGATTATCAATTGATGTTGAAGAACTATGGTACAACAGAGCAAACGACAAATTCAAATCCGCAATTGTATTTGCTACGCGGAAATGGGCTCATAGTTTTCGATTATTTTTCGACTCTCAAATGCAGTGTTCTAATATTGAATGGGGTAAATTGTCTTGAGGCTTACTTCCCAGATTTTCTTTAGTCAATTTACAAGATTTCAACATGAGAATAATGAGTGGTTTAGGTGTCAAAATACTCAATTTTAATACTTAACCATTAGAACTTTTTGCCAACATAAAAGACAATGAAAGGCTAATATTCTCTACATTATAATGTTATACCCGAGGTCCCTTAATCAATAAAACATACAAAACCAGGAATTGAAAAAGGGAAACGACAATACCTAATGATGCCGCCACTAACTATTCCACAAACAGAATCATCCCAATTAATTAGTAAACATTTTCTTTTCTTTTAAGTTGAGCCATATATAGAATAATTACTAAATTCAGTAACACTAAACTGTAGGCAAAATTTGAAAAGGAAGGGAGAAAAATCCAAACCTCGCTTTTAGAATGACCTTAATAGCAACCTCCGGTCATATAAGTTTCCTCTTCTTAAACTTGGTCCGGTAAGTAAACCAAAAAAAAAAGGAGTACGTTCCAAATCCTTCTCACTTGATGCAACACTAATTAGATTATCCTTATTTCTTTTCCCTACAACTTCAGCGTCATCATCTTCGATGAGTAATGAAACATATTTCTCTGTATTTAGAAAAAAAAAACTGCAATTTATTACAAGAAAGTAACATTCCTCATCAATCAAATATAGAAACATAATGTGGAAATTAACCAAATGTCTAAAAACTCCTAAATTTTTTTTTGCAGATTCATATATAAAACAATGTCTATAGCAAAAAGTTTAAACAATCGTGATGTTCAAGCTTTTATAAGCTCCAAGTGTAAAACTTCTTGACCTGGCAAAACAACTAACAGATATTGTTAGGATTTAATAAATGGTTTTACCCATTCATGACAAGTATACCCAAAATGAACTCTACCCACTTCTTTTCCCAGCTCGTACTCATTAGAAAATTTTTTCGAAGCACTATCGAAAAGTACATACCTTTTGATGTGATGAAAGTGAAATTACTCATTCATAAAGAGAAATCTAGGTTAAAGAAGCAAAAATGAAGTTGTAACTGCATATTCAGTAAAAAAACAGGCGGAAAGAGTAGCTAATTGAATTTTGACAACCAAGGGTTTTGTGTAATAAGATAACGGCAGTGTGGTGCCGACAATTTGGAAAGACAATGGAGTTGCTAGGGTCTGATGAAGGTAAGACGGAGATAGCTTCTATGAAAATGAAACCCGATTGTAGAAAAGATTTTCAGATCTAGGAAGAAGAAAGAGAAAAACAAGGCAAGAAATGACAATAAATGACTATTCTAGAAACCAAAAGAACACTGTGGTATTTCCAACCATTCCCTGCCCAAAAATCCAATGGCTGAGCCAACCTCAAAAATCTGGCTTTTGAGCCGACCAAAAATCTGGCTTGTGAACAGTACATGACATCCCACTCTTTTATTTGTAGTTATAGATAGATATAGATATAGATATAGAATTAGATAAATGGGATATTTGGCCTAACCTTTATGAAGGTAGCAGTCTTGTTCCATCACACCCTTTTATTTTTGGGTCTTAACTTTATATCCCAAGCTTTGAAAGATCAAATATGAAATCTGGCTAAGAGAGTGATCAAATATGTAACATTATTTAAGTGTAAAGACTAAGTCCCTATTTGTCTATAATTATTCAATGAAAATGAAATTTAGAATATTGAAGAATGTGTGGTTAAAAAGTAGGAAAAAAATTTAATTTACATTCAAAATATTTTATTGTGAGAACGTATAATTGAAAATAAGTTTGAGAAATTTTTTTAAAATAATGATAGACAAACATATGCTAAAATGAGGTTGTCACTATTTTCTATTTTGACACCACATTTTCTCTATTCGAGCCCACCTTTCATGTGCAAATACCTCTCCCCAAAACGCACAGATAAAACTAGTTACACTGTAGTGATGAGGTCATTAATGACATGATGTAATCGATTTATTAGACGTCAGACAAGTAATTAATACATACTTT